GCAAAACATAAAAGCTATATTTCAGTAAAATTTTGTATCTATATCGTAATTTAGTAATAAGTAATGTGTGTTCAAGTGATTTTCTGAAGGAAACCTTGCATGGGACCGACCGCACCCATGTTATGGACCGATCGTGAAAAAATTTTGAAATAACATTTCTGTGTATCAATATTTGGTAATGAGTTAAGTGCTTTTAAGTGATTTTCTGAAAGGGACCTTGGATGTGAGCTATGATCAATTATGAACCGATAAGAAAAAAATTTCACAGAAATATTTCTGTGCATATGAGCAATACTTGTACCAAATTTTATATGGATATCTTAACTTACTAATGAGTTATGCGTGTTTAAGTGATTTTCGGGAGGGGACCTTGTATGGGAGCTATGACCAATTATGGACCGATCGGAAAAAAATTTCATAGTACTATTTTTGTATGTGAGAGCAATACTTGTACCAAATTTTATATGGATATCTTAATTTAGTAATGAGTTATGTGCGTTTAAGTGATTTTCGGGAGGGGACCTTGTATGGGAGCTAAGACCAATTATGGACCGATTCGAAAAAACTTTCACAGTAATATCTCTGTGCATATGAGCAATACTTATTCCAAATTGTATATAGATATCTTAAGTTAGTAATGAGTTATGCGCGTTTAAGTGATTTTCGGGAGGGGACCTTGTATGTACTATTTCTGTATGTGAGAGCAATATTTGTACCAAATTTTATATGGATATCTTAATTTAATAATGAGTTATTCCCGTTTAAGTGATTTTCGGGAGGGACATTGTATGGGAGCTATGTCCAATTATGGACCGATCCAGAAAATTTTTTCTCCCAATGAATTCTATTGACATAATATTTTAATTTGTCAAATTTTTTGAAGATATCAACATTCTGACGGAAGTTATTAACAAAAAACTCGTTTTCCGGGAATATGTACTTTTGTAAGGGAGGTATATGAAATTATGAAGGGATTCTGGCAATTTTCAGCAGGAATCAAGATCTTGTGCAGAAGCGAATGTATGATGATTTCCTGAAAGTATCTTGCACGGTTTTCGAGAAAATTACACCAGAATGTGTAAAAAATGCTAATTTTTTCGGAGTTGTTTTAAATTTTGATTCACAACTTTTCCCGATGTGAACCGATTTTGCTCATTTTTAAGATCAAACTGTACCGGATAATAATGAATATTTTGGCTGAATTTCTTTAATTTCCATTGCTTCGTTTTAACGTGAGCGTGTTTTACACAGACAGACAGACGGACGGACGGACATAGCTAAATCGACTCAGAATTTCATAAGGATCTATAATATATATACTTTGTTGGGTCTCAGATGAATATTTCTTGGCGTTACACGGAATGACAAACTTATATATAGCCTCTATCACCACTGATGGTGGTGGAGGGTATAGCAAGTTAGAGAGCTATATTCGGCTGAGCCGAATCTTAAATACCCTACTTCTATATTCATATTTTTCTAATTGATCAAATATTTGTAGAAATAAGTTTTCTCATGTCTTAAATAGAAAAAGCCCAAGATTTAAACAGCTTAAATTTATTACAATTCCAAGATTTATTGAACATTACAAACACCATTTTCTTTTATATTTATATAGCTCCATAAGATATGCTTAGAAATATTTAATAATGTATGCATGTGTGTGAAAGATTTAAAGGTTTTCAAAATACATATATATAATTTTGTTCTACACAAATTGATAATGCAACTTTAAGGGCAGGGCCTAGTATGGGAGATATGACCAATTATAGACCGATCGTAAAAAATTCTGTAGGCAAAATTTTTGTACATAAAAGCTATATTTCCAGTCACATTTTGTATCTATATCGTAATTTGGTAATAAGTAATGTGTGTTTAAGTAATTTTTTTGTAGTGTTTCTCATAGTGGATAGACGTGTTTAAAATCGCTCTCACGAGAAAATAACATTGTGAACATAAATCTATAGATATAAAATTCTAACGTTACTGACTGACTGACTGACTGATTGACTGATTCATCATCGCACAGCCTAAACGGTTCAAGCTAAAGAGCTGAAATTTGGACAGGGGGTTGGTCTCCCACCAAATAGATCCACTAAGACGGGATTTTTGGAAATTCGAATGTTTAGGGGGTAAAAAAGGGTAAAAACGGGTAAAATCGGTATCCTCATATCTCCGAAACTAGAAAAGATACAAAAATAGTTTAAAGCTTATCGTCGTTCATTTAAAAAATAAGCGGACAGGTGTCTGGTACTTTTTTCAATTTCGGCCCCTTTAGGGAATAAACGGGTAAAAACTGTATTTTGGTACTTTTTTTGCACCCCATGTATCTTTTAAACCAGTGAACATTCAAACAATATTTTTGACTCCTTCATAACTTGACGAAAAAATAAAAATATATATATTTAGTACTTTTTGGTTATTCGGATGTTTAAGGGGTGAAAATTGTACCTATTTTTGGTACTTTTTTCATAAAACATTGATTTTGGTTTATTAACTTATACATATAAATACATAACAGCGGACTCCCACTACGATGTTGCAACATTTTGGAATATAATTTTTATTTCGTTAATGGGTAGAAAAAAAGTACCAAAAGGGGTTAAAACGGGAAATTTGATTTTATTCAAACACAATGATCCAGTTTAGATAAAATTTTTAGATTTAGAAACACTAAATAAGCTAATGAGGTGTTATTTGGAACCCCGGTACCAAGTGATATTTTTTGGTACTTTTTCATTCTCCATCTGGTACTTTTTGAGTTTTCTTTGATATTGAAATCGAAACATGAAATTAATAATAAAGGGACTTTTCGGTACTTTTTCGTTCTACACAGGTATTTTTTTGAATTTTCTTTAAAATTAAACCTAGAAGCATGAAATTAAGCATGTAGAACCCGGAGTAAGTGAGAATGAATTTTCTATAATATTGAACCTAGAAACATGAAATTAAGCATGTAGAGCCCGTAGTAAATGAGAATCTATAAAAGCGGACTTTTTGGTACTTTTTCGTTCTACAAAAGTTACTTTTTGAGTTTTCTATAAGATTTAACCTAGAAAAATGAAATTAAGTATGTAGAGCCCGGAGTAAATGAGAATCTATAAAAGGGGAGTTTTTGGTACTTTTTCGTTCTTCAAAAGGTACTTTTTGAATTTCCTATAATATTGAACCTAGAAACATGAAATTAAGTATGTAGAGGATGGATTAAGTGAGAACCTATAAAAGGGGACTTTTGGTACTTTTTCGTTCTTCAGAAGGTACTTTTTGGATATTTGTATAGTATTGAACCAAGAAACGTGAAATTAAGCATGTAGAGCCCGGAGTAAATGAAAATCTATAAAAGGGAACTTTTTGGTATTTTTCGTTCTTCAAAAGGTACTTTTTGAATTTCCTATAATATTGAACCTAGAAACATGAAATTTACTATGTAGAGCCTGGATTAAATGAGAACCTATGAAAGGGGACCTTTTGGTACTTTTTCGTTCTTCAAAAGGTACTTTTTAGATTTTTGTATAATATGGAACCTAGAAACGTGAAATTAAGCATGTAGAGCCCGGAGTAAATGAGAATCTATAAAAGGGGACTTTTTGGTACTTTTTCGTCCTTCGACTGGTACTTTTTGAGTTTTCTATAAAATTTAACCTAGAAACATGAAATTAAGCATGTGGAGCCCGGAGTAAATGAGAATCTATAAAAGGGGACTTTTCGTTCATCAAAAGGTACTTTTTGAATTTTTTATAATATTGAACCTAGAAACATGAAATTAAGTATGTAGAGCCTGGATTAAGTGAGAACATATAAAAGGGGACTTTTTGGAACTTTTTCGTTCTTCAAAGGTACTTTTTGGATTTTTGTATAATATTGAACCTAGAAACGTGAAATTAAGCATGTAGAGCCCGGATTAGGTGAGGACCTATAAAAGGGGACTTTTTGGTACTTTTTCGTTCTTTAAAAGGTACATTTTGAATTTTCTATAATATTGAACCTAGAAACATGAAATTAAGCGTTTAGAGCCTGGATTAAGTGAGAACCTATAAAAGGGCACTTTTTGGTATTTTTTCGTTCTTCAAAAGGTACTTTTTGTGTTTTTTATAATATTGATCCTAGAAACATGAAATTAAGCATGTGGAGCCCGGAGTTAATTAGAATCTATAAAAGCAATCAGGAATTGAGTGAATAAAAATTTAAACTGAAATATTTTCTGGTACTTTTCGAATTTTCTATAATATTGAATCTAAAAACATAAAATTGGACATGTATGATTGTATAAAAATCTTTATGCGATTTTTTTGGTTTCTGGTTGAAAATTAAACATGCGTCATCCTGATTTAATGAAAATATATAAAAAGGCACTTTCTCGTACTTTTTCGTTCTTCAACTGTTTTTTTAATTTTCTGTAATATTGAGACTAGAATCAAACTTAAAGAGTTCTCTAAAAGGGGCATTTTTGATATTGCAGATATATATACATTTACAATAATGATATTTATTTTATTCCATTACGATGAGGGTAGCGAAGCACACTGGGTATAGCTAGTTCTTAATAAAAATATAAAAAAAGATAAGTAACAGCGAATGGACGCTAATTAAATACATACTTATATATATTTTAAATATTAAAAATACATTTAAATTAAATAAATTTTCATTTTTTTAATGCAATTATTAACAATAACAAATTGTAGCAAAAAAAAGCATAAAGAAAAAAATATAATAAATAACAACAATACCTTCAATAAAGTGTAGTGTTTGTGTTATTGTGCATGAGTTTCTCTAACTCTCCAACAAGTGAAAGGAGGCTTAGTAGCAATGGAAAAAATGCATACTTTGTTATGAGCTCTCCATACAACAACAATAATTATGATCCAAAAAATTATAAAAACTATTTAAGTGTAAGAACAACAAGAAACGAGAGATCTGCTCTCTCAAGTGCGCCAAAACAAGACAATTGTGTGGAAGACAACGAAAAAGAAAAAATAGATAAACAAACAACTGATTTAATGGTTGATGTATATAGTAATGCTAATGTGAACAATACCACAAATAGTAATAATAACAATATTAACACTATTAAAACCATTAATAATAATGAAAGTCATTCAAGACCAATGTCAAAGTATACTGGTGCCATACCAAAAAATACATTGAGCTCGCATAAAACGGAAAAGATCCAAACGGGAATGGACCGTTATGTCACTTATACAAAACGTAAGTCGAGCCCTAGGACTTCAAAATTGGAACCAAATCCAAAACAGGCGAAAACAAATTCGGTAAGTCAAAATCGTTTTGCACTCCTTGATAACCAAGAAAGTGAAAAAATACCATCCATGCCTTTAAAAGACTGCAAGCCACCTCCCTTGTATTTGCACGAACCTACCACCAATCTATTGGGTTATAAGTTGTCCCAACTTGGCAAAGAAAATTTCCACGTAGTCTCTCTACGCAAAGGAAACATTCAGGAAACAAAAATACAGACTTATTCAGAAAAGTCTTTTAGGACAATAGTTGATAATTTTGATTCTGAGAAAAGAAATTATTACACGTATCAACTAAAAAGTGCAAAGGGTTTGACAGTAGTTATCAAAGGGTACAGACAGCTCTGTACCAACTGATGACATTAAAAATGCGCTAGAGTCTGAAGGTTATGAAGTGAAGTCCATTCACAATATATTTAACAAGGACAAAATTCCTCAACCAATGTTTAGAGTTGAAATTACTTTTAACTCTTCACAATTGAAGAAAAAGGGTGATACTCATCCAATATACAGTTTGAGATATCTTCTTAATCGCAAAATAACTGTAGAGGAACCAATTAAGCACAGAGGTCCTCCTCAATGCCTAAATTGCCAAGAGTTCGGTCACACCAGAACTTTCTGCAAATTACCATCTGTTTGTGTGAGATGCGGAGACATCCATAAAAGCCAAGATTGTCCCCACCCAAAAACAGATAACAGTAAAAGAAAATGCAGTAACTGTGGCCCAAATCACACTGCAAACTATCGCGGATGTCCAGTATATCTACACATCCAACAATCAAATAAGGCCAGAAGACCTTTATATGCTCAATATAAAGCTTCTAACTTCACAAACCTTCCTAATACTTCTAGTACTCAATATAAAAGTATTACAAATAAAAGTAATCAGAATAAATCGTATGCCCATACGACAAAAGATGGCTCCGTTACCCAAATGAATGCAAAACAAACTTCTAGAGTCCAATATAGAATAATGAAAATTTGTAGACAAATAATGAAAATAATACCCCATTATTTTCATATGCACATGCATTAAAAAAGGGTGTACCCGCACCCGAAACAAATTCTCAAAGCTCTATTGAGAATCTAATTCAAACCATGAACAGTTTCATGGCAAATATGCAAAATATGTTTCAACAATTAATGCAGAATCAAAGCATGCTCATGCAGATCCTGCTAAATAAAAAATGAATTCGCTAAGAATTTGTTTTTGGAATGCTAACGGCCTTAGCCAACACAAGAATGAAGTAGAACAATTTCTGCTACTTCAGGAAATTGACGTACTACTCGTCTCTGAAACACACTTTACCCTAAAGAATTGTTTCAGAATTAATGGATACTATACTTAAACATCCAAGTGGCAGAGCCAGTGGTGGAACAGCTATTTTAGTGAGAAAAAATATTAGACATTTCCCAATGTCAGAATACAAAAAGGACCATATCCAGGCCACCTCTATAAATATACCCGATAGTAGAGTTACAATGTCTTCAATATATTATCCTCCTAGGTATAATGTTAATCGAGAACAAGATTCATAGCAGCTGGTGATTATAATGCAAAACATACATTTTGGGGCTCTCGCAGACAATTGCTAGAAGCAATATCGCATAACAGACTAGATGCCATATCTAGTGGCCAACCTACCTATTGGCCTACAGACCTCAATAAGATTCCCGATCTAATTGACTTTGTTGTAATCAAAAATATAAAACGAGAATTTATTTCAGTGATCCCTTCACTTGACCTCTCGGCAGACCACTCGCCTACATTTTTAACGTTATTAGAAACCCCAAATAAATTGGAAAACTATTGTTCTTGTTTCCCTAACAAGGAGACGAACTGGTTAAAGTATAAAATGTATGTTAGTTCACACTTGCCACAAAACATTTCATTGAAAAATTACCATGAAATACAATCCGCTGTCGATATATTTACGGATATCTTACAAGATGCTGTCAAAGTGTCTACACCCCCAGTCACCTTGGGAGAATACAAAAATTCGAAATGTCCTAGAAACATTGAGTCTCTTATTAAAGAAAAGAGAACACTCAGACGTCAATGGCAACAATCGCGATCTCCAAACATAAAGGTTAAACTTAATCAGTGCCAAAGAAGACTTCACATCGCCTTAAAAACTAATAAGGAATCTAATCTGAGAAACTATCTCAAAAACTTAGACCCTACTAAGAAAACATAATATAGTCTCTGGAAAGCAATTAAGAATATGCAATGCCCTATTGCATATGAGTCACCCATACTCTCTATTGCATATGAGTCACCCAACGCTCTATTGCGTATGAGTCACCCATACGCCTCCAGAATGGTGAATGGGCAAGAAATACGTCAGAAAAAATTGAAGCATTCGCCAATCACTTGGAGAATGTGTTTACTCGAAATGATACTGATTCTTCTATTAGTGCTAACATTATAAATAATGTGGTTCCACGCCCAATAAAATTCGGGTTCTCTACCGTGAAAACGACAATCAAAGGTCTAAAGGCAGGAAAATCACCTGGTATAGATAAAATTACTACCACAATGATAAGTAACCTACCCAATTCAGCACTAAGAATTATTTTGTTCATCTTTAACTCGATGCTACGTATTGGATATTTCCCTACCTCATGGAAAGTATCCGAAATTGTTATGATACCAAAACCGGGAAAAGATGTCACTCAAGTGACATCATACCGTCCCATTAGCCTGTTGTCTATATTCTCAAAACTTTTTGAAAAGTTATTACTTGAAAGCCGTATACTACACCTCAACGATAATTGCATTATTCCTGACCATCAGTTTGGTTTCAGAAGTGTAACGTGGCAGTTACAAAAACCTATACATACAATAGATAAATTGTATGAATAAACCATCTTACATTAAACATCCCATACAACAAGTACATTATACAAAACGTTACACATTAAACAATCTATAAAACAAGTAAGTAGTTAATAATTCCTAACTTGTTTATGTTGAAATATGTATAAGTGGTCAGAGTTTTGTGACTAGAGGGAGAGCTGATATTGCCGTTCGTGCTGCACTCGTGCATGATACCGAAGTACCGCCCGAACCTAACACAATACCTGCTCTAACTCGTGTAGTATTTGCGATTGTATTCTTAGTCGGACTCAAGAACCCCCGAATACTTCTTGACTTCGTGTAGTATTTGCGATTGTATTCTTAGTCGAACTCAAGAACCTCCGAATACTTCTTGACTTCCTGTAGTATTAACGATTGTACTCTTAGACGAAATCAAGAACCTCCGAATACTTCTTGACTTTGTGTAGTATTTTCTTAGTCGAACTCAAGAACCTCCGAATACTTCTTAACTTCGTGTAGTATTTGCGATCGTATTCTTAGTCGGAATCAAGAACCTCCGAATACTTCTTGACTTCGTGTAGTATTTGTGATTGTATTCCTAGTCGAACTCAAGAACCTCCGAATACTTCTTGACTTCGTGTAGTATTTGCGATTATATTCTTAGTCGAACTCAAGAACCTCCGAATACTTCTTGATTGTATTCTTAGTCGAAATCAAGAACCTCCGAATACTTCTTGACTTCGTGTAGTTCCTCTCTTTCAAACAACTAATCGTAGAACGAATAGACCCTGAAATTAACAGAAACCTCGCCAGAATACGGCGATAAAATTCCTTTTCCTCCCACTTGTCTAGCTAACGCCGTCAACACCGCCGAATAACCATCGTTCAACGATCACTTCCCGAATAATCATCGTTCAACGATCACTTCCCGAATAAGCATCATTCAACGATCGCCTCCCGAATAACCATCGTTCAACGATCACCTTCCGAATAATCACCATTCGCCGATCGCCTCCCGAATAATCATCGTTCAACGATCACTTCCCGAATAACCATCGTTCAACGATCGTCTCCCGAATAACCATCGTTTAACGATCACCTTCCGAATAAACACCATTCGCCGATCGCCTCCCGAATAATCATCGTTCAACGATCACTTCCCGAATAACCATCGTTCAACGCTCATCTCCCGAATAGCCATCGTACACTTAAGTAGATCATAAGTAGTTTAAGGTTTTCAATAATAAAGCTTTGTTCCGAATTACACATCACATTTTAAATATTTGTGTTTTCATTTAAAGGAAGCAGACCTTTGAACTGAACCTGGACAGGCTGAGTCATACCTCAGCTGGAAAATAAACTGCATTACAATGGCGCCCGAGCAGGGACCCGATTCCAAGAACGCACCTAGTGGAAAAACCCCGCACCAAACCACCAACGGGAATGGATCGGGCCAGGAACAAAGCCAGGAGGACCAACCTGCACAAACTACTCTACAAACGGAATCACTCGGTTGGATTTATCTCCTTCGACGAGATAAATTGATTGAGGTATGTCGTCAAAATCATATTCCTATTACCGAAAAGGTTACGGTGGACCAACTTCGTCGGCAACTGAGCGAGCTTTTACGAGCCAAACGTCTGCGAGCATCCTCAGAGAACCTTCTGCGTTCCCTAGAAGTGGAAGTGATTGACGAAGAAAGAAAGCCTCTAGAGGACTATCAGGTAAAGATACCGGTACCTTCAGTGGAACCGCGGAAAATTTCGGTAAATACTCTAAGTGACGCTGAAGTAATGTCTACTATTCGGAGATGGGATCTGACATACGACGGTGGAGATAATTTAACGGAATTTATCGAGCGGCTGGAGGAACTCGCAGAATGCTACGGATTTGATAGAGGCAGATTGCTCTTCTCATTATTGGAAATCTTGAAGAATAAAGCATTGCAGTGGTACCGTGTGAAGAGGGAACAAATAACGACCTGGGATCAATTTAAAGAAGAGGCTACCCGATTTTTCTTACCGAGGCGCTACCTGTCGCACCTTGAGGAAAACATATATCACCGTAAACACGGTCTGAGGGAAAAGGCCAAGGATTATATTATGTCCTTACAGGCTCTTATTCGGCAACATCCTGAGTTAAGAAAATTGAATCACACGGATAGGATCTATGATGGGCTGCGATACGAATACAAGTTGTATGTCCGCCGGAACGACTTTGTCACCATAGACGAGTTAATGGAGTTAACCGACGAGTACGAGCTTCTACGGAAGGAGGAAGCGAAGCAAGGAAAGCCCCAACCCAACCACTACATCGACGTTTCCTCTACAACCGGAATATATAATCGGGAAACACATTGTTGGCACTGCAAGCAAATAGGCCATTTCCGCGGGCTATGCCCCAATCAAGGTCGAATTTTCTGCTCATGGTGTGGACAGGATGGGATTATGTCTCGTGATTGTCTATGTTCTCGGGAAGAGTCACTTTCTGACGGACGCTACTACCTTAGTATCTCAATTTTTGGCACTTCTATTAC